AATAGAAAGTTTTTTTATATGATAAACAAAGTTAATAAAAATATAAGCTAGAGGAATATATAAGAATAAAAATAAAACATAATCCAATTATTTTGTTTTAGATTTCTTTTAATCTTAAAATGAAAAGAAATTTTGTTAGATTTCTAAGATTTTGTTTAGATTTCTTTTAATTCTAAAAGGAATATAAAATCAGATGTATCAAGAATGGGATGAAATTATTATAGCAGAGTAGTAAATTTGAATGACTAACAAACTCCTATTTAACAGCGAAAAGTAATCTTTCCTAACTAGTTCCCTCAGCAGGGTCAGCAATGAAAGACCAACCTGCCTGTGTATGTACAGGCTGTGAGTAAAAAGGAATGATTTTTACATTTGTAAGTGTCTGGGGTAAAAAAAAATAATTAAAAGAATAATACTTCATGACATTTGATAATTGCATGAAACAGCATGAAATGGTATGATTTTTAATTCCAGAGACTCTCTCTTAAGGAGTGTTCATCATTAAATTACACTGGAGCACAATAACATCTTGTTCTGTCTATGACCATTTCTGCACTGCTGGGCAGAGGTAAGTAAGTCCAACAGAGACCCTAAGTCCACAGAGGCAAAACTCATTACTACCTACATTTTTAGAGAAAAATTTTGCCAACACTTATCATATAGCCACAATGTTTTAGCTAAACTGTTTTGCTAAAATTTTTTGTTCTGCTGGAGATCAGAAACTTCACGTCTCATTGCAGACAAAGCTGGTTTTTAGAACTTCAGATAACACCGTCACACTTGAGAGCCTGATTAGGTAGATACAGCCTATGATTGAAGGCTCTCTACTATTTCCCTCTTTTCAGACGATTACATTAAAGACTCTGATATTCCTTTTTGTGCTAGAAGAAGGCTCATTTTAGACATCATCCATGAAGAAAAAAATTTGCCAAGTTAGCTCTGCTGTATAAAAATAAAGCTATATTTCAAGACTGTTGTCACTATATTGTGTAAGGTGACACAGGTTCTAAATAAAACATGAATGACAGGTAGTCACGACTCTTATTGTTGTTACAGGCTGTTGAGTCGGAATTGACTTATAGCTGATCCTCCAGTGAATTTTTAGAAGCTATACATCACAGTTCCTATGAACTTGGAGAAATGATGAAAGTTATTTAAGTGTTCAGGTCTTTTGTTCATAGGGTCGCTATTAGTAGTCTATGACTCGATGGCACTTAAGAACAACAACAACAACAACAATAACAACACAACAACGAAAGAACTCTTTTGGCCTAGTGGATAGAAAGTTATGCTACCAAGCCAAAGTTGGATGATTTTAATCTGCAACCCTCGGGCCTGGTTTTAATTGTTTTTGGTCAAACATTCTTCTAAGTGGTATAGCACTGGTCTGTCATTTGCTGTACAGATGTTGTTGTGATGCTAAACACTGTGATGCTGATGTGTCAAATGTGGTAATGGTTACCCAAGGTGGACAGTGTTTGGTGGAGCTACCCTATTAAAACAAGCATGTGGAGAGGCATCCACTTCTGAAATAGCTTGCCTCCGGAAACTATGAACTTGGAGAAATGATGAAAGTGATACAAGTGTTCAGGACTTTAGTTCATAGGGTCACTATGAGTCGTCTACAACTCAATGACACTTAACAACCACAACAACATACATCACAGAGGAGGGATTGCCTATCTTTCTCTCACAATGCGGATGGTAGATTTAACCTGCCTCTCTTTGGTTTGGCAGCACAACTCCTTACCCATTAGGCCACCAAATCTCTCTTTTAATTCTGTAACTTAACTCAAAACTCGAACTCATTGCTGTCTTGTTGATTTGGTTTTATAATGACTAGGTGTTAGAAAACATAAAAATTGGCGTTTTTAGCCATTGTCTTAGTCCCTGCTGGGGCATGGTCTCTAGCTACCTTAACTGTAGACACAGTCTTGCAAATCATCAACAGCTCTGTGGGACCAATATGAGGTAGAGATAGAGCTTCTCACACTGAGGTGCCTCCGACAACAGCAGTAGAGAGACTGGGAAGGCACTGTGAGAAATGGCACTGTGGCACTGCTTTGAGATAAACTGGGAGAACCTTGGAGATGGAGCCACAGTTAAAGGTTTTGCTTTCTGGACGATTGAAGAAAAAGCTGCCTTATAACTACTTTGAGATAAATTTTGCTGGCAAATGAAGAAACCAGACATTTCTTGTTTTTGTGCTGTTGAACTGAATGTGTACTTTCACAAATTGGAGAATTATACCTTGTTAATCTAGCTTGGGACTGACTGCTGGACTAAACCTGGACTTACATTGGGTGATATTCTTTGCCTCTCCCTCTCTACAACTTATTTCCCTAGTAAATCCCATAATTGCGAATAAAGTCTGAGTCAACAACGAATATCAGACCTAAACAATTTGTAGAAATAGGTGCAGGAGCATGTGGGGTGGAGTGTCTGACCAAGCAGCTGTTTGTTTGGGACTACTGATGTTATTGGTGGAGACAGTTCTCCTTTATGAAACAGGTAATAGACTAGGCCATCCCCACATTGCATCTTCTCCTTTCACAGTGACCCTCCATCAGGTTTCTGAGGCTGTAAATTGAAACGAGAGGATGACTCTCCTGTGGAGCCACTGGTGGATTTGAACCTACTCAGATGTGCAGACACAGTAGAGTTAATGTACCTGAGCAGCCCGGAGTTTCTGTCTCTTTGGTTCCACTTCTTTGACTACACGAGAGTATAAATCCATTGCACGTACCCACATGCACATGGATTTACACGCTTTGGACACTTTCTCTACTTTTTCAGGCACAAAATCAGGATTGTTAATATACTTTTGAAGCTTTGCCAATATCTGAGGCTTTATATTTTCCTTATCATACTCTAAAAGCCTTCTGAGAAAGTTAGAATCACCAAGAAGTTGCTTTGCTGTTGGCCAATCAGGTCTGAAAGACAAACATGCTAAGTTAGTAGCGTTTTAATAAAGTAAGAACACAATAAATACATTTCCTTGGGAACTTTATAGTATTACGGCTTTAAGTGGAGACTTCTCCTCTCTGTACTACAGGTCCAGTAATTAGCAGTTTTAATAAAAGCACATTGCAGTTTATTGGGAGACAGTGAATTAGATAACTAAAGTCTTATCTAGCTCAGTTTTGGCACAGAAATAATTATAAAACTACTATTTTAGAAATGTAATGCTTGAAAGTAATAGTTTTCTTTTTAAAATGTCTATAGACACTCATTCCATGCCTTTTGAATCTATATGCAGAACAGATCATTTGGGAGGCTGGACTTTATGAGGAGAAATTTGGCATCAGGATTGGAAGAAGATTTATCAACAACCTGTGTTATGCAGTGACACAACCTTGCTTGCTGAAACCAAGGAGGACATGAGACATTTGCTGCAGAAGGTCAAGGACTATAATCTTCAATATGGATTGAAGCTCAGTATCGAGAAAACAAAGATTCTTACCACTGAGACAATTGACAACTTCATGATAGACGGAGAAGAGATTGAGATTATTTATAACTTCAGCTTGCTTGGTTCCACAGTCAACACTCTTGGCACCAACAATCAGGAAATCAAAAGACAAATTGCATTGGGAAAGTCCGCTGTCAGGAACCTCTCTAGAGTACTAAAGGCCAATGATGTCAATCTAAAGACTAAGGTGTGTCTGATCCAGGCCACGGTATTTACAATTAGTTGTTATGCATCTGACAGCTAGAAAACAGTTAAGGATGACAGAAAAGATTGGTGCCTTTGAGTTGTGTGCTGGAGAAGAATGTTGAGCATACTATGGACTGCCAGGAGAACAAACAGGTCTGGCCTGGAGAGGGTGAAACCAAGCTGCTCTCTGAAGGAAAGAATTTTGAAGCTTAGTCTCACATACTTTGGGCATATGGCCATAAGGGACCAGTCCTTGGAGAGGGATTTCATGCTTGAAAAGGTGGAGGGATAGCACAGGAAAAGATCACCCAGGATGAGATGTATTTGCTCAATGACCAGAGAAATTATTAGATTAGATCTGAAGAAGATAATGAGATCGGCTCAGGATAGGGCAGGTTTCAGATCTAGTGTACACAGGGTTACTATGAGTCACAGGCGACTTGATGGCAAATAACAAAAAACAACAAGCACTCACATTTACCTCCTTTGGCCTAGTTTCAAACACATTGCTATTGAATGGATTCTGACTCACAGCAATCCTCTGTTGAATTACTGAGGTTGTAAATTTTAACTGGAAAAGATTGCTCATCTTTCTCTTGAGGAGTAGCTAATGAATTTGAACCACTCGGAATGCACAATCTGTTGGTTAGTAGTGCAGCATACTATGGACTACACCACAAGAGCTCCTCTGGCCCTTACAATTTCTTGCCAGGATCACTACAGTTACTTTCTAATTGAGTTTAAGTCTCTTGATCAACCTTGCCCCTTCTGAACTTTGGCCAGAGTGGTCTTCCTTTCCCCCCTTTTTTGTAAATATTATTAGTTTTAATATAGTAATTCATTTATATTATGTTTCATTCATATACATTGTGTTTTATACCATCTTTCATTTACACTGTGTTTCATACAATCATTCATATACATTCTATTTTATATTATTATTTATACTTGGTTTGCTTACAAAGTTTATTTACACCATGTTTTACACTATTTTTCATTCACATTGTATTTCACACAATCATTTTCATACATTATGTTTTATAAAATCTATTACTATTGGACCTTGCCAATCATTCTACCTTTTTTGCCCAGATCCTTTCCATTTGTTTACCCCCTCCTTTCACCCACCAAATTATGCAGCCCTGTGGTTTCACCCCTACTTATCCCCACCCCTTCGCTCTGCCTTTTTACTTTGAGTTCCTATACATGTTTTACTAGTTACCCTTCTATTTTTACAAAAATGGTCTTATGCAGTATTTGTCCTTATAAAATGGTATTAGTTCACTCAGCATAATGGTCTCCAGGATCTCCAAAGTTACATAGTATTTTTCAAAATCATCACTCCCGAGTGCTGCATAGTATTCTATTGTAAGAGTGTACCATAATTTCTAAATCAATTCAGTTGTGGTTGGACATTTGGGCTGTTCCCACTTTCTTGTGATGAATAATGCTGCTATGAACACTGGTATACAAATCTGTTTGGATATTTGTTCTAATTTCCTTAGGGTATATTCCAAATAGTGGAATAGCTGGGTCATCTGGACTTCCTTTATTCAACTTTTTAAGGAAAAGTTAAATTGTCTTTAAGAATGGTTGGACCATTTTACAATTCCACCAACAGTGTATGAGAGTTTGCACCTTTCCACATCCTCTCCAACATTTATTGCTTGCTGCCCTACTAAACTTGGTCACTGTTCTTGGCTTGAGATGGTATCTCCTGGTTTTGATTTGCATCTCTCTTATTGCAAGTGATTGTGAGCATTTCTTCATGTGTCTGCTGGCAACTTGAACGTCTTCCTCCGTGAAAAATCTATGTCTGTTGCCCATTTTGTAATTGGGTTATTAATCTTTTTCTGGAAGCCCAGGAGTATTCATTCTGTAGACTTGTTATGAGACCATGTCCAAAAAGGTATTGTCAAATATTTGTTCACAGTCGGTAAGCTTTCCATTCACCTTTTTTGGAAAACTTTATGACGAGCACCAAGATTTAATCTTTAGAAGGTCCCATTTACCAATTTTATTCTCTCCAAATTGTGCATTTTTGGCTACAGTTGGCAGTCTCTTTGTAACACAAGCTAAGCCTTCTAAGCTTAGTCCCAGTTTGTCTCTTATGAACTTATGGTTTTGAGCTTTACTCCCAGGTCTCTGATTCACTTTGAGTTGATTTTTGGGTATGGTGTGGGATGTAGATCCTGTTTCAGCTTCTTGCAGGTAGCAGTCCAGTTTTGCCAGCACCATTTGTTGAAGAAGTTGTCATTTCCCATTTGATAGGTTTGATTTCCTTGCGGAATATCAGTTGCCCACAGATGGATGGGTCATTTCTGGGTTCTCAATTCAGTTCCATTGGTCTATGTGTCTGTCATTGTACCAGTACCTTGCTGTGTTGGTTACTATCACTGTAACCAGGGAGTGCTATGTCTCCCACTTAATTTTTGTTGTTCAGAAGTGCTTTGCTTATTCAGAGTCTCTTTCCTCTCCAGATAAACTTGACAATTTCTCTTTTGATCTCCTTGACAAATGAATTTGGTATCTATATTGGCATTGTGTTGAACATGTAGATTGTTTTTGGTAGGACTGTCATTTTCACAATATTGACACTTCCTATTATTGAATAGGATACATTTCCCCATTTATTCAGGCCTTTTATTGTATCTGCAGAAATGTTCTGTAGCGTTCTTTGCATAGGTCTTTTATGTCCCTAGTTAGGTTTATTCCCAAGTATCTCAATTTGTGATTGGCTATTTTAAATAATACTGCTTTCTTGGTTTCCTTCTCTGAGTTTTCTTTGTTCTATAGAGGAATTCCACTGATTTTTGGATATTGATTTTTGTATCCTGCAACCCTACTAAACTGGTCCACTAGCTCAGTTTTTGGTTTTTTTTTTTTGTTGTTGAGTCCTTGGGGTTTTCTATGTACACTACCATATCATCTGCATATAACGACAGTTTAACCATTTTTTGCTGATCACGATGCCTTTTATTTCCTCCTCTTGTTGCATTGCCCTAGCAAACACTTCCAATACAATGTTGAATAAAAGTAGTGATGATGGGCATCCTTGTCTGGTCCCTGTTGCAAGGAAAATGCTTTTAGTCTTTCTTCATTGAGAATAATGTTGGCTTTTGGTTTTGCATATATACTTTTGACTATGTTGAGAAAACACCCTTCTATCCCAATTTTACTGTATGTTTTAATCAGGAAAGGGTGTTTGATTTTATCAAATGTCTTTTATGTGTCTATCGTTAAGATCACATAGTTCTTCTTATTTGCTTTATTAAACTAGTGAATTATATTGATTACATGTTGAACCATCCTTGAGTACCTGTTATGAATCCCACTTGGTCATGACCAACTATTTTTTTTTCTTTTGAATTCTATTTGCTAGGATTTTATTAAGGGGTTTTGTGACTAAGTTCATGATAGATTTTTCTTTTTTGGTAATATCTTTGCCAGATTCCAGTATTAGGGTTACATTTCATTCATAGAATATCTCTGGGAGTGTTACTTCTTTTCAATTTTCTGAAATAATTTAAATAGAATTGGTGATAAGTCTTCTCTGAATGTTCGGTAGAATTCAACCGTGAAGCCATTTGGTCCACGACTCTTTTTGTGGGAAAGTTTTTTAATTTGTTTAGCTTCTTCTTTTGTGATGGGTCTGTTCAAGTGATCTACATCTGACTGTGTCAATCTAGGTAAGGCATGAGTTTCAAGGAATTTGTCAAATTTATCAGAGTATACTTTTCAGAATAATCTGATATTACAGATTTCATTTCTTCTGGATCTGTTGTGTTGTCACTTCTGTCACTAACTAATCATGCTATTAGTGTCTTCTCCATTTTTCCTTTTGTTAAGTTTGCCAATGGTCTGTAAATTTTATTGATTTTTTTTTTAAACAGCTTCTGGTTTTGTTGATGGTTTCAATTGTTTTTCTGTTTTCTATATCATTGATTTCAGCTCTTATTCTTGTAATTTCCTTTCTTCTAGAGGCTATGGGGTCAATTTGCTGTTATTTTTCTCTTTGAAGAAGGTGTTGAGTTAGATCATTAACTTTGTTTCTTTCTATGTCTTTGATAGGAATATAGCTATGAACTGCCCCCAGAGGACTGCTTTAGCTGCATCCCAGAGGTTTTGGTTTGTTGCATTTTCATTATGCTTTGTTTTGAAGACTTTTTTAATTTCACTCTTTTTTTTCCCTGCAACCCAATCATGCTCTGTTGTTTTTGTTAGGTGTCAATGAGTCCAGTACGACTCACAGCGACCTATGAATAAAAGATCTGA